TCAAGAATAGGGCAGATGTTGTACTGAGTGACATCATTTAGTGTTGTGTTGCTGATGGATTGGTAGCTGGACTGGATGACCGTAGTGGTCTTTCTAACCTTAATGATTTTATGAAGAGAAGCAGGTGTAAAGAGAAATCTCCTTTTACATTAGCAGCTTGTTTCATCCAGCTGAGAGAAATCAGACAAACTCAGGGAGAAAGTTAGGAGATCTGTGCAAAAGGACAGGTGAGAGGTGGTGGTTACTTCCACTATCTGCCTTTAGAGCTTGGGAAGTCCCCTGCACCCACAGTTCTTGCTCCTGGAGGAAATTGAGGGATGAACCCCTGGCTTCACAGGGCCGCCTCTTCCACGCATGTGGGCTCATTTCTTCCTCTGTCAGCTGGATACATTTGTCATTTCCAGCTCCAGCCAAACAAATTCCAATCCACTCTTGTTTACTTTAGATTGCTTTGTCTTTAATGTAGCATACAAGGATTTTATGTGCTTCTGCTTCATCAATGTAATTCTTTTGTTGCTATGGCAATCAGCTTCAATTTTCTTTCGTTCTGGCAATTGTATTTTTATAGTCTCCTGCTCTCAAAGAGATAAGCTGCCTTGTATATCACACAGACACTAAGTATTGCCTCTATATAGACACAGACAACCTTTGCTTTAAGACTTCGTTGCTGTTATTTGCAACAGTAGTTTACTGTTGCTGATGTCATTTTTATTCCTTTTTTTTTTTTTTTTTTTTTTTTTTTTGTGGGCTCTGTTTCAAATAGGCCCTTTGCTCAAATTTACTGATTTGTGCTACTGCTGTGGGAATGCAACAGTATAAGAAATGCTCTCCTGCTGGCATTTGGTGGCTGTGGAGGGCACGCATACAAAGCCTAGGCTTGAAGATACAGATGAGCACAATGGATTCAACAGAGTAAGAGCCACCCCAAATTCTCTGCAGCCTTGCTTTGGCTATAGAGAAAATAACAGTAAAATGTATAAGATATTGAAAAAAATAATGCCACAAATTTACCAGCACATCGTCAAGTCAGATTTTCCAAAATATGGAAAGTGGGTACTCCATCACTTCGGATCACAGAAAGAAACACTGCATCAGATGTTCAAGGCCACGTGATGGGAAGCAAGATGTGAGGGCAGAAGGGCTGCTGGGCAAACATTGCCATGAGAGGAGGCCAGCCTCCAGGACAGACATGTCCAGCACCATGGGATGGACCTGATGCTCCTTCAAACATGTTAGATAATCTGCAGTCACTGTCTCTAGATGGCCAAAAAAACATTCATTTGAAACGTTATTTTCTGTTTAAGCATATGTATACTGAGACTTAATAGAGAGAAAGTGCAGAAATCCAAACATGGAGAGAGAAAATGGCATGCCAAGGTCAGATGGGGAAAGCATTGCAGGGATAGAAATTAAGCTGAGATTTCCCAAGTTCCAACTGTCCCTAGTCAAATATACAAATGGCTAATCAGCACATTCTTTGCAACCTGCTGACGTGTTTGAAAATCTGTGCATATTTTTTTCTCCCCTTAAAAAGCTTGTGCCATTCATTGTTAAGCTCTGGAAACACTCCATACTAAAGTTATCAAGTCTGTCATCTCCTCAACATTGTGAAACCAGCCTCCTCACTATCCTCTCCACCAGGCAGAGAGTGGAATAGGAGACAGAAGTAAGGGAGTCATTCTGCCAATATGCTCAACTACGTATTACATTTGTTAGGCCATATGGCTTTCTGTTCATCCCTAATGAACATTAGGTAGCGCTTCAAATTGGATAACGTATTAAGAAGCAGAAACTGAGAAATCACACCCACTTGTCTCTGCAGCTTTCCTGTAGCACATCAAAGCTCTTCCCTGCTGGCAGCCATGGTCCTACACACACACAAACCACTGAAGAATTCATGGCATGACAAAGTGGACACAGGAATCAACACTGGCTGGATTGTTCCCGTTTCCAGCAATTTAAAGTGGCAGGGTTTTATTATTTGATAAGCTGCGCTCCTATTATGCAAGAAGATGTTCATTCATTGGAGTGAGGTCCATTGTAAATGACATGGAAGAATTTTTTTTTTCCTCTACAAAAAACCTTGCAACCCAAATGCAGGGAATAAATCATGCAGTCCCTGGGGAGATGATTTGCCTCAAACAATCAGGCTCCCTAGGATCGCCAGTCAGAAGCAGTTAGCATACGACTGCTGCTGCTGTGTGCCTGCTCCAGAAGAATACTCCCTGTTGCTTTGGGAGATAAAGAGCTGCACCAGATGGCAAATAATAAGAAATGGAGTGCTGAAAAGCTGACTGAAGATCTGATGAGTGGATGATATTTTATTTCTTTGAGTTATTATTATTATTTTTTTTAATACAGTTTTATGCTTTTCAAAGAAACTGCATTCTTCAATGTCCTTCCCAGGATGGAGGAGATCCACTTCCTTAGACAGGATCTGGAATTTCCTATCCATTGCTAATCACTGCTAATTTTCTTAGCTTAAAATTGGGCAAATGAATGGCCACCATTTCAGTGATGTCCATCTTCATTTTACTGATTTAATCACAAGTGAGCTTCCAGCTGTACAAGCTAGATAATGACAGATGTCTGAGATATTATAAAACCTCCCTTCTCCTTTCCCTCAAAATTATTCCTGTAAGTGGCTTCAGAAGAGGAACCATTTCCTGTCATTTGTATTTATTTTCAGCTTAATACAAATTCATGTAAAAAACTAAGACGACACTAACCTGTACAGTGTGCCTTTCTGTGCTGGGATGAACTACTGAACCACGGTCTTAAAAATGCAGGTAAATCCAATGCACATTGGGTAACATTTGTGCCTGAACATCTGAACCCAGTGGGAACTTAACTTACTAATTCTGAGTCACGAGGAAATCAATATTTCAATTGAGGTTGTTTTTTGTTGCTGCTGTTTTTTTCTCTTGCTTCTCTTCTTGGGTAGAAATGTGTCAGTTTTGGAACACTTTTTTTCCCTGACAGAAAAATAAAGTTAGTGATGAAGAGAATGTCTTCATAAAAGTTCTCATGGAAGGATCAATAATATCCAAAACCTCCTGGTATCTCCCATCCCAAGACTTGGGCTAACATCACCACCATCATATTGAAAATAAGACAGCCAAACTTGAAGTTTCATTAATACTGTGTTTCTATTACCCAGAGTTCAGTTTCAAGTGCAAGCACCATCATTTCTTTTATGATTTGTTTCTAAACTGTTTGCTTTGTCTCCCTCTCCTCCCTTCCCCTTTTCCCCAAAGATGGTTTAAGAGATTTTATTTATAATGAAACATTACTCAATGTCATGTTAAGCTTTCATCCAATCACATTGGTAACGTTTTAAGCTAGGTTTCCCATCCCAGTTACTGCACTACATTGATCTGTGTGAACCAAATATATTGCTTTAGTATTGCTCTCTCTCAATTCCCTGCAGAAAAGCTTCACATTTTAAAACCATTTCCTATGGCCTCAGGAAAGTAATGGATTTATAATAGTCTGAGTACGAGTGCACACAATCATTTAATAAGCATATAACTATAAGCACGACTCATGAAGATGGTAGGTTCTGAAGCTACGTGCTGACATGTATGCTACCTGCAATGGGAAATGGAAGAAGAGAACTATAATCACATACAGCTCATGCAGCAAAAAAACAGCCTTTTCTCTTGCCGTGATTGTTGTCAGATGGATACTGGACTTCTCTATAGCTCTGAGTTAAATAAGACTGTTCCCTCTCCCATTTTTAAAGCAAAACAACTGTCATCCACAGAACTCCACAGTGACAATATCATGCAACCCCAAGAGCCCCTGAACTGTGAGACAAGGTCCTTTTATTTTCACTGCTCCTTGTCTGGATGCAAATAACCCATCTGAAGCTCTCTGCTCTGCCTCATCTGTCTGCCAGGCACATCCCTGTAACTACCAAAGGCATCCACATCAGGAGGCAAGTCAACAAAAACAGCTAAGAGCACTACAGGGACACCCCCAAATCGTTCTCTAGTGATGTTCTGCTCACCTCATTGACTACAACAGGTAGCTTAGAGCAGTTGCACTCTTTACAGCAATTCCTTAGAGTAAAGTGATTTAGACATAGGGATTTGGAAGCAACAGCTCAATCCATTTACCATAGTTCACCCCAAGCCAATATCCTTACTGAGCTCAACTCTACAAGAACATCACTGCCCTGCAAATGCTCCAGTACCAGAAACCACGTATCAGTAGTCAACAAGGGAGTCCTCTGGGAAAAGGCAAGCAGATCTACACCATTCAAGACAAATGTCTTGTCCACAGTGGCAAAGAGATGCATTTGACAGAAGTTCAGGTCCGTTAGAGGATGATCAGAAGAGTATGGCAGAGGGAAAAGGAAAAGAAATCCACAGAGTGAACAACAATTCTATATGTGGCACCAAGGAATCTGGCAGCAGGGTGGAAGATAACTCTTAGACATGTTGAGCAGCAGATGTTTGGATGTGCTTCAGTTTATGCTAGTGTGGAAATCTCACTCAAGCATTTAGGTCTGGCTTCAATGCTCGAGTCAACAGAGCTCTAATCCAAATTACTTCTCAACAGAGCCAGAAAAACATGCAACTTCAGCTGATCTCAGAGATGGCCTGTGAAAACAGCAGCAACTGAGCTATGTTTATGGCAATTTATCTACTCCTGACCTTGCCCAGAATTAATCTGAATGTAAGGAAGTCCGTATTTAGGAAAAAAAAAGAAAAAAAAAAGAAAATGAAAAAAAAAAAGAGAGAGATTGGATGTAAAAGGTACTGACACTCCTTGAGACACACAGTCTCCTCCCAGAAAAAAAAATAAAATAAAAAAAAGGAATTAGAGAAATTTTAGCTGCCAAACCTGCACAGCAAAATCCCAGCAGTTTCTGAGCAACGTCCAGGAGAAATCTCACAAAGTGGGTGGGCAGTCATTTGTCAAAAAGTCCCATGGAAAGATTTATAAACTTGACTAAAAACATGGCAATTTTTCTTTGCACTCTTTTCTGAGTCTTTTTTTTTTTTTTTTTTTACATTTTCCAAGTAGAATAGGCAAACCTCCAAACTGAATGTTTCTTCATTTAAATTTCCCTAGAGCAAGGGAATCATGAGACTCCTCCTTGATAAAAAAATCCAGCTCCTTCAGTGGTAACAATTCTTCTGCACATCTTGGTTTGAGATCCAACTGAAATATTTTAAATGTAATAGCACTAAACTTCAAGGATTTGCTCTCAGTTGGCAATGAAGGATTATGTTCCTTGGTTAATTCATTCATAACATCAGTATGTCTGAAACAGGAACAGAGAGAATCACAATCACTTATGGCAGAATTTGGTTGACGTGAGATTCATCTGTGCTTTTTCATTCTTTTACAGTAGGTTACATTGTGGCAGAAGAAAGAAGGAAGGAAGGAAGTGAAAGAGGAAAACAAGGGTTTTTTATATATTCTCATTGAAATATTTTCCAAAGAAAAGTAGTCAACATGTTTCTAAGTAGTTCTTGAAAGAGCAGCAGCTGTATCAGATATCCGCTCCCTCAGCAATGACGTCAGTTTGTTGTTGTTGTTGATTTTCCATCTCCTACTGAATTAGAATTTTCCTGTACTTGCTTTAGCCATCCAGACTTTAACCCTGCCAAGGTTTATATTAAAATCTAGAGGAGGAAGTGTTGCTCCACTCCCTTAGGATTTGATGGGGATTTTGTTTTTGAACCAAACACACTTGGCAAAAAGCTTCAAATTATTTTCTGGTTCCATCATTAGCATTGTGACTCTTCCATCGTAAGCTGAATTTTACCCAGAAGTAGCACTTCCTCCTCTGCTGATGCACTGACACTACAGTGCTTTATCAAAGCAGTTAAAATGATGTGTTCCTGCGTAGGCAATGATAGCACAGGGATAATTTTTAAATGAAGAGCAAGTAATCTGTCATAAATGAAGTTCTCAGTGAATACAAGGAAACATTCATCCTGGATTTCTTTCCTGGGTCAACTACTTGCCTTGGAAAAAGAGGAAAATAGGGAGATTTGTGTTATGGGTCTGGTTCCTATCAAAGGAAGTGGATCAGAAAAGTAAGTCGAGGTGCTGCAATACTTTTCAGTAGCAACTTCAATGGGTTTTTCCACACACAAACAAAATGTAAGTCTCTGCTTTGGTGCTTTCCAGACAGCCATTTGGCCAGACATCCAGCAGCCCAGCACAGCATATCTTACCTTGCTTTTATCTCTCTGTGCTTATTTCACCATTTACTTGGTCACATTTTCCAACTAAAACAACAAGGATGGTTGACTACTTCCATGCGTATAAATGTCTCCCAGTTCACAGATAGCAATAAATACATAGATAATGAAGAAAGTGTAAACATACCCACTGTGCTAGTATCCATCTTTGACATTACAAGCTGTGTGGCTGGAGCCTCTCCTCTTTGTGCAGCAATGCCGTGGGGCAGCTGAGTTTGAGTTGCATGAGCCTCATGGGAATACATTTTGCCAATGAGACATGACTGGGGCCTCCCAAAGCCTCTGCCTGGTTTCTGGGTTTTTGCGTGAGCACCTGGTGAATACTACAAAATGTCTCCCAGCACCCAAACCTTTCATCTCGCTCTGCATCGGTTAGTAGCTGGAAAGAGAAGATGGAGATTTTGTCATGGTAGCCAGAGACAGGATTCTGAGCAGCCAAAAGGGCGGATGTTATCTGTGCGAGTGCTGTGCCTCCTAATCCTTTAGCACTTATTTGCAGCTCCCTGGTATCCAATAATTATTGTCTTGGAATCTATCCAAGAGCACTCTGCTGTGAGTAAAATTCAGCTAAACACATTCTGCATAGCACAGTCTCCCTGTTGGATGAACATCACTCGTTGTATCAGGTCTCTGGCAGAAATTCTGAACTCCAAATTCTTGTTCCTAACAAATTCTCTCCAAACTTTGGCTTGAAAATTATCATTCCATCAACCTTCCTGCAGGACAGCTCGTTTGCAAGAATAGGGAAGAGAGGGATTTCAGAAAGGATGCATGAAAATGAGACTCACCTCAGCCTTGATTTCAAAAAGCATTTAAACACTGGCTTAGAGTTTTCAGGAGGATTTAAACGTGTTTTCAATACTCTCCTGAGCTAGAAGCATCTTATTTCAAAAACTTGTTTGTAAAAACTTTACATTGCCCCTTCTGCAGCTCTTATTGCTCTTCATAACTGCAAGGAAAAGAACAGGAGGAAGTAGGGAACACTGGGACATGGAATTTTATAAAGAAAACATAAATAAATTATGTTGTCCTGTGAAATTAAAAAACACTATTGCTAAATAATAAATAAATACTAAATAATACATTATTTTTTAAAAAAGGTTAACGGCTGATTTCTGTAGGGAAGCCATGAATTAAACATCACGCAAAACAATTAAACTCTGGGAAATAGGATTTCTGATATAGTGGTCAACAATTAAAAATGAATGTGCTACTTCACTCCAGGGAAAAGCAGTAAGATGTCATGCTTTCATGCCATGGGGAACAAACATACCGTGCATCTCCAGCTGGAAAGTTCTGCAAAATAGAAAGCAAATACACAATGAGTGGCAGAGACTTAATCTGAGAAACTGTTACACAAAAGATTCAGGCTGCAGTTGCTATTTCTGAAAGAGAAACACCACTGAGAGACACTCACTTCTCCCAGCAGCAACCTTCGAAATTCTCCACCTGCACTTACTTGCAAATACAATTCCTAGCAGCATGGGCATCCTTACAAGAAAATCCTGATTGAGGTCCACCAACTGTGACAGGTTTGTCTAGAAATTGGTAGCTGGGAGCATAACCAAACCACAACCTCCACTCGCAGACAATGTCTATGGCTAGAAGACTTCAGTTGTTGCCCAGGAGCAAGTTTAGCTAAACACATGTAAGAGTTCATGCATTTCTTTTCTGCTTTCTCTGAGCAAAATGTATTATAGACAGTATAAAAAGATGCTCTAATGTGAACTTACAGCTTCTGAATGGAAGCTTACTTGCCTACAGCTATTCTCTTTACTTTTTATCCTGTGTTACACCACCCCAGAAAAGTGTGCTTGGGCACCATACATAGTAAAATACAAATAAAACACTGTTGTTTAAACCAAAGCCAAGTATCTTCTGAAACGATCATTAACACTGCTGTATTTTAATTACTGCTGAAATTATCCAGGAGCGATGTCCTATGCACGAGTTAGTTTTGGTGCCAGCAACTTGAATGCATTGCCTACTACCTGTACCTGAGCTATGAGAAGAGATGATATCCATTACTGTTTGCCTTCCCATGCCCATTGCTTAGGGAATAGTGTGAATTGTTTACCACGGCCAATGTGTATTGGAACAGATGGTAAATATCTCAGTTCCTGCCAACAAGAGTCAAGAGACGCCACTAAAATCCATTTAGAATAGGGGAAAATAATTAAGGAAGTACCTACCTGAGAATTTACCTAGGTCTGTTGCGGTGAAATCTGTTGGCTAATAGGTAGTATCAAAGTGCTTGTACTGAAAGGTTCATCAGAAATCTTGTCTCTGCCCCCTGTGTTGTTAGGAAGAACCTCAGATGGGCACTTCTCTTCAGTGATAAACAGGTCCTAGTTTTAATCTGAAAGGAATTTTGTGTGTTATAGGGACAAGTCGAATGGAGATGCTTCATTTTCTATCTGTTATATATCAGTGATGCAAGCTATTATGGAAATTATTTTAGACTTGGCAGAGTTTTCCAGAGAGAAGCAATCAAGACATAAATGCTCACAATGGCTTGGATCACAGAGCCATTTTTTTCGGTTCAGGCAACATCATTTCTTTTCCCTCTCTACTCTGTAGAGCTGCATGGTTATTGAATGCAGACCAGTGACTGAAAAGCAGGTCATCGCTTTGCAGCGCATCCACTGGAGATGCCAAGAAACTTTTCCAAGATCTTTCACATAGCCATTGCTTGTGGCTTGATTAGAGTGAGTCACAAGGTTGTACAGAGCTGGCACCCATAAAACGTTAAACTTTCATATGAGGCACTGTGAATAGTATATCCAAATGCATACTGAGAGTTTGTTCTCTCTAGGATAATCTGAAATTCTTTAGCTCTCATCTCCCACCAGTTCTTGCTACTGCATTATTTTCATCCTGTAAGATGGTTGTAGGGAACACACCCTGTCCTGTCTTGTCATGGTATGGTACTTGTCTTTTATTTCCCCAGATGGCAACAGAGGGAGAAAAACATCAATAAAACCTCCTTGTTGAATTCACAGGAAAAGTTTGCATTTGTAGGATTACATGTGGAACCTACTTAGAAAAAAGGACTGGAGAGAGTAGAAAAAAGACTGTGAAAGGAACCATTCTCATGACATTATGTTCCACGACCCTGAAATACAACTAAATATTTGGAACAACATCAGTTTAAGCTATAGAGCACGGGTCTGGTAGGGACAAACTGAAACCCAGGAGTTCTGCCCTTCTGTTTCCATTGAAGAACAGATGGATTTCACTACATCCTGGCAGTGATGAAGAAAGCCCTACAGATCCCATATATTTTGTCAGTGAATAATTTGTACAAGATAGCTATGATGCAGAAATAGGTCTTGTATGTTCTTATCCTTTGATAAATACACAACAACTTGTTCACTGGCCCAAATCCTATATCAAAGCTCAGGCAGGATCTAAATTCTTGTCCCAGCCTTCAGTATTACACTTAACAGTACAGGCCATATTTCTTAACTCATTATATTACACAAAAGTTATTCATCACTTCATTGGAAAAATGATTGAGTGGATTTTGAGTGGACCGGTAGATTTTCATGCCCATTTTTAGGACTAGATTTAGTGCCTTGAGAGAGAGTAGATGTAACATTTTTGTCTAGTCATTCAGTATCCTGTTTTCTCTTGAACTGAATCCAGCATCTTACATACTCATCCTGTGACTAACAATGAGAGATTGGACAATTTTTGCATCCCTTGTCCAATTCTTCATTCATACTGCTTTCCTGCACAGTGTAGATACACCTATTGTTACACAAAGTAGAACTGAAGCCTGGGGCAGTCACTGGCATCATTACTATTTTCAGTGAGAGCCTTGGTGGGCTAGGGAAAATGAGCTTCCCATGAGATCACAACTTGGGCCAACAGCACTTTGCAGTCACATAGAACTTCCTGGAAATGAGTTTGAGCAACCCACTCTCAAAGCTGTGCTTTTTACAAGCTGAATTGGACCAGTGCACCTTCAGAACAATCTCCTTTCTGCTGTTCTTTCAAAACAGGAAATTATTCTGTAATTGAAATGAGATCAGAAGACTACTGTCATAGTGTCATGGGAATTTATGAGATTCTCTGTTTTGAAATGCAGAGACTGTGTAACAAGCTTGACATTGTTCAGGTGAGTGTGTGCACGTGTCTGTGTGTTGGTGTGCGTGGAGGTCAAGATCTTCAGCATGCCTTGCAAAAATTCAAAAGAAGCATGACACAAGAAAATGAAACTTGGTAGGAAGTGAAGTGCGTGTGGTCCTCACATCTATTTCCACTAATAAAAGTGTTTGGAATCGTGTTAAAGTGAGTTCAGCAAACTGCACTTTTCACAGGAACTGTGCTTAGTGCCCTGCACCAGGTGAGCTGTGCTCTTCCCTCTGGCACTTCTGCCAGTGCTTCCTTCAGAGCCATTTCCAAGCACAACTAGCATTCCTTTCTCTTCATAATAGGAACTGCATGAAACAAAATGATACTTCAACACTATTTTGCAGCCGGCCAAAGGCTCAGAGGAGCCTAAAATGTTATTTTATGTTAGAGTCTTACTGAAAAAAATCTACAACCTTTTCTATCTTTTATCCTATCCCAAGCACTGATGCTGGAAGTCACAGAAGTTCTAATACAGACATCTATCAGCAAGGCCAGCAAGGTAACGGGAATCCCATACAAACATTCAAGCTCATGAAATCACAAAACCACTTCCTCTGGGTTCGCTGGAGCCCAACATATACAAAGGTTCTGAAGAACATTATTCTCCTCAGCGTTCATGTAATGAAATCAGATAATCATTTATCCTTTTATAAAGTTCAGGTAATTTTCAGGTCACACAGAAAACAGCTCTTGATGTTGAAGGCAAGAAAATGAACTCCACTCTTAACTTGATCCACCCTTGCACTGTTACAGCAGGAGATGTGCCGTACATCAGCGAGGTTTTAAAACTGGAGACATTGAGTCATCAGCTGGCACAGTTGTTACAAACAAGGTGTTAGGCAAAACACCTGGAAGAACAGTTCTTCAGCTGGTCACCTACCTACACAGACCACAGCTGCTGATTCTCCCCTCCTCGCTTACACTCATAAGCACTGCAAGCATCTCCAGTGTTCAAACAACGTGATAACGTGTGAACATTTCTCCTTACAACTCCAATTAAAGCCAATCACGCTAACAGAACAGACAGAATTATCTGAGGATGGATATCTGATGCCCAAGTCTGTATGACCATGTTTTCGAAGTCAAGATGTTCATGTGACGATTTTAGCTCTAAATGTCACAATTACACAGCTCTGCACAAGTTCCAAACCATTTGCTAAGTGCAGCTAGATTTATTACCTTCAATTACCTCCTTCCATTGCTACTGCACCTTTACAATCAAAAGATAGCAATCTCTTATTTGCAGGTCTTTTCTCCCCATTATTTTAAAAATGACCATATGTAGCTTATTCCAAACTCAGTTGTTCTCTCTTTTTCTATCTGAAAAAAATATATATTTACCTAACTTAAATAAATAAGTTCATATATAGGCTAATGTGAATATTACTCTAGATACAAATGTGCTGTGAACCTATTTACACTTCTCTATCTTGACTGTATATGAAAGAGGGTAGGAACTGTGAGAATAAACAGAAGATTAATAGAAGGGGCTAGAAAAAAAGGAGACTGGATGAAAAAGAGTTGTTTCCTCCCGTGTCCAAAAGTTCTATGACTGTTTCTCAGCCCACATAGAGAGAGATTCCTGATAGAGGCTGCAAATGCATTTAACTCCAAGTAACAGTGAGCCTGCTTTTCTGGATAACTATGTTTAATGGAATATTAACAGCAATATAAATACCATGTTATGGGTCTGCAATTGAAGCTCATTTGGAGCCCTATCCTATCTACTTTTCTTTTGGTATAAGCCTGCAACAGAGCCTGCCAAATTAAACAAAAGCTCAATGCAGCAGCTTCATGCAAAGGTACCCGAGAGCACGTGGCTAAAACCAGTCCTTCAGTTCTACGTGCAGCTTTTCAACAGTGCTTTGCAGCACTCTTTCTGAAAGACATAAATAAGGAAAGCAAAGAGGTGATGGAGTAGGAAACACTTGGTCACAATGTCAGTCATTTCTCCCCCTGTCTCTGCACTCTCTACAGATTTTAAAGGTCAGGAGGATACAGAACAATGCCCATGTCCAAAGAAGAATTATCAAGGAAGGTTAAAAAACTTTTCTCCCCAATGAACTTGAGGAATTTTCTTCCCTTTTCTTCACAGAGCACTGAGCTGTCTGGGTTACGTGGGACTGAGTACTTTGTGGTTAACATTTGCTGTGATTGGTTGAGCCGCTGTATAAAATGGAAAGTAAAGTTCACCTTTAAGATATATATTTTTAGTAACTGACCCATATGGTGCAAACTGCTGTCCAAAATATATTTTTGTTGCATTTAAAGGCTTTAAGAAAAGTTTTTCCCTTTAAAAATTTTTACTTGAAGTGATAACCAATATTTTGTAAGTGCAGGGCAACACCATTCTTCTTACCTCCTAGCAGGAGGAAACCTTAAAATCAGAGAGATGCCTTTTTCCTCCTCCCTTATCACCACACACATTTTCTCTGTATTTTAATATTGATCTTCATTTCTCTATTCATCGCAGAGGAAAACTTCTGGCAACTCAAACATATGCATTCTGAAGAGATTATTATAATAGAAAACATCATCAGACAAAAGACATTAACCAGAAGGTTTCCACTTCCACAAATAGGAAAATGGAATCAAACTACCGAAAACTGACTTTCCTTATGCAGATGCATACATCAACAAAGACAACAAGGCTCTGAACTGATTTGGGTTCGCACTGTAACCATAAATAAAGCAAGAACAACAGAGGAAGGCATGCTGGTTACAGTAAACATGATGCTGCTACTGCTTGGACACAAACCAGAGGGCCAATGCTGCACACACTGGTGATCCGAAGCAATGGTGTGTACACAGGAGATGACAAACACCTCCCAGAGGTTTGGTGATAGAGTGATGCTCACCCATACACACTCCAGGGTCCCATAACCCAATAGCAACCCTTATAGCCCCTGTTGCCTGTCTTCCTTCAGCAGAGAAGGACGTGGGGTTTCCAGTAGCATGGGCCTAGCATAGAAACATAAGGACACCTTAAAAGGGTCTCCCTTACCACTAAGCTAAGAGGAGACAGACCTGCCCTAAGTCACCATGAGGTGTTCATGCAACTGTTCTTAGAGCCTCCATAAACGTTCCTACCACTTACTTCCCTTTGAACCTCACTAACAGGGAAAGCTGATTACTGCCTTGTCCTCACAGCAGCTTCACATCGCACCTCTCTGTTGCAGAAGCTGTGCTAAAACTGTTCAGAAGCTGCGTGTTGCTTAA